AAATTCGAGAAACTGAGAAGCATAATTAAGCTATTTGTATGTCAAGGAGATTAAATGCACAGAGGGCGATGCAAAGTTAGAGTTGCAGGCGGAGCAGAGTGATCGAATGCTTTTGTGAAGTTCGGAAGCTCGCCGGTGGAAAAATTTGAGAAACTGAAAGTCATATTGACCTATGAAACCTTCAACTGTCGCGAAGTTACGAGTAATGTTATTAAAAGGAAAAATGTAATATATTTTTCTTTCGGGTATAAGCATTTATATTTCCTGCGGCAGCCAATACCCATTCTCATTAGCATGCGAATGGCAAGCGCCTGTGTTTGCGTATTTCGTCACGGAACAGGCTCGACACGAATTATGTGATAGCCGTCCCGGTGTCACGCAGCTTATTCGCCTAATTAACCTGGAAAGTGGATCAAGTTTTCACCGTTTATTTATTATTATCGAAGTTTATTACCGAAGAATCATCGCAATCGCTCCTCTTTCCATCCACTCAATCGTATCTCTGATTCATCGATTTGGTCTCCTAAACAGAAACCACATCCAAACCTGAAGTTCGTGTAATCGTGCACTCTCCGCGTATCTATTACGATTTCTGCCCTAATCTCCATGTCTTTTTTTCCCATTCGTTGCACTTAGTCGCGTAAGTACGTTCGTGTCAAGCCCAGCGCCTAATTATGCATCCGCGTAAAACAGAATTAATCGGACATTCGATCTATGCATAAAGATGTTAATCGGCGATCCGACGAAACAAGAGTTTCATTAAATGTCAGTGAAGCTTTTATTTTATTGCCGTTAGCATGCTTCGCGGTGCTTATCTTCGGAGTGTAACTACCGCGTACGCGATACGCGGTTCATTTCTGTATCATGAATATTTAACAAAACGACGAAGAAAGCGGAGGAGCGGGTGTTCTCCTAAGAATCCGCATTAGACGGTACTTAAGTCGCTTGCAAAGGTGTCGCGGCCTATCTGACGTATCAATCGGTTATTCCTCTCCGCCGTCCACGGCGACGGAAACAATTAACAGAACGCATCCTGCGCGAGCGTTCCGCGGTCTATTTTCGTCGTGTAAATTACAGGAATGCCCGTTAATTCTAATCGACTTGTTCATGCGTAGAAGTAGATCCGCGAAGGCGTGGTTTCTCGAATGCGCGACGGTTGCGTGACCACTTCGTTGATTAAGGACCGGTACCACGGTACGGACGGCGGTTCGCCGCGTCATTATTACCGCAAAAGTACGATAATGTATCAATTATCGATGCCCGCAAGAAACGGTTACGAACTGTCGTCATTAGACAGCCGGCTTGTTAGATGCACGCCACCAAAGCATAAACGAGCCGGCCGCCGCGGAAACAGGATGCATTAAACGAGGATGCACGACATGAGATTCAGTTAATCTGATATTATGCGGAATTGATTGCCGCTCCGCGGAATATTCGATTTCTCCTCGCCGGAAAACCTTTTTCCCTCGATTAAGAATGTAAGTAGGGAGAATTTAGATCGAGAACATCGAGGGATCGATCGAGAATTCAGTAACTTGGGGAATGCGATCGATGCCTTGGCAAATGTGATTTTAAACTTTGGGATTTGGGAAATGTAATTCATAACTTAGTGAATCTAACCCTTTGCACTCGAGAGGTGACTCTAAGTCACCACTTGATTTGACGCAGTGAAACTATAAAATCTGATATTTAATGTTGAACTTTGTACAATGTCTCAGTACGCGAAGTATTGGAATAAAACAGCGTCCCTCAATATTCTTGTGATTTCCCTTCGAGTTAATTTCAAAGAATATCGTCTTCGCCTCGGCAAAAAATGTTAAATATTTCTAGTGAGAAACTTCTGAGTGCAAAGCTAATTTTAAACCTAGTAGTTTAATTTTAATTTTAAAATTTAATTTAAAATTAAATTTAATTTAAAAATTTTAAAATTTATCGTTTAGAAATTTAGAAACTTAGAAACTCAGAAACTAACTCAATAATTTGAAAATACTTTTTTAAAATCGCGAGGCACGATAAATCGGCCCAACGTTTCCAAAGCAGAGGTTAAAATAAAGCTTGCCACAGTTCAAGGAGATCGATTTCCTATCTCGTCGAACGGAAAAAGGAATTAATACCGTTCGATGTATAAAAAATAGCTAATGATCTCGTTTGTTCGGTGCCGATGTTAATACGAGAGGCGCGCTGTAGTCATCGTCGGTGTACACGTCCGTTAAATGATCCGCGTAACGCGTGACAAACGATTCCCGATTTATTCGCGGATTCCGCGCGAATATATATTCCCCTCCATTAGATATTGTAAAAGTCTGACTGCTTCGTCGACGAATTACGCGCAGCGAAAATGCGGGACCGGTGCTGCGAGCCGATTTTTCATGCAGATCGCGGCCGCGACGCGAATCGTGCGCGGAATAAAAGCCACGGAAGAACGAGCGATCCTCGCGCGGATTTAAGAGCATCAACCGTGTAATGGGTGCCTTCGAACGGAAGAAAGGGACGTCGAGAATCAATGAAAAAACACTTCAAATTACTAGCTTTTTAAGGAACAGCCTTCTAAAATTTTGAAACAAATTTTTAAAGACTTAGAATTTAGACGTCTTGTCGTTCGAAATTCTTTCTATATCATTAATAATACTTCCTTGTATTAAATAATATATAACTACAAAATTTGATACTTAACAATTCTTCAATGTCAAAACTCAAAGACACACTTTACTCGAAATGCCAAAGGAAAATTCCTTTCCATGTTGACCATCGTTATTCATTATCCTTAACACTGCGTACCGGCTAATTTTCAGAAAACTGAATTGTGTGGATGGCAATTTTCAGACACCACATTGTTATGTAATATATTTTAAATAGACAATCATTTCGAATTAAATTTTATATTATTTCAATGCTGTGGTAATTAGCGAAGTTGCTAAGTGTCTATATAAAAACGAGATTTCTCGTTACCGGTACGCAATGTGTTAAGATCAATCTTAAAGGAAGTCTAGAATCAAGCAACATCGAGCAAAGGATTCTCGTCGACAAGAGATTCCGGAAACTCGGCCGTAGTTAAAAGAGATACACGATATTTAATTTTAGAGCCTCGTTAAGAGACTTTGAAACGAGAAGTAGATCGAAATCGATGAGTAATATTTAAAATTCCTCTGCATAAAACAGATCTCCGATTGTTTCGTTATTGCCGGAAGCACCGAGCGCCATTAGCGTTGCATTCCAAGGACCTCGCTGCTGCCACGGTGCACTGTTCGAAGTATCGTGTTTCAATAATGAATGCTACCGTGTCGCCGACGTGCACGAGACGTCGGCACGAAGGCCTGATCCGTGAATCCGCGCGGGGATTTCATAATCCTGTCGCGGAAATCACGGCGCATGCAGGAATACGATGCACGAAGGGGAATGCGCAAGGTCGCCCGTGTAAATCTGTTGTCGTGGATGCGGCGAAAGCAAATCGAATTCAACGCTCGTGCAGGATTACACGGGAGCGGTTTCAATTTGTCGGCGGATCGAGGAGATTGCCGGCGTCGACGTCAGATAAGGTTTTTTGTTAAACTTCCAGCTTTCGCCGAGGAGATGAAAGAACACGGCGTTTAAAATAAATAGGAAACTCAGAAGAAGTCATTTCAAATAATTCATTTTACAGATTTCTTATTAGGGAACGTTGAACCTTGGAAATGTGTAATATCAGAAGTTTCTTATTAGGAAGATTTGTATTTTAGACATTTCTTGTTGGGAACATTTGAATTTCAGAAGTTACTCGTTGAGAAACGTCACGAAAAACGTGGAATTTTATAATCGAGAGATATCAAACTTTTCAAATCTCGCGTTCGAAAATTTTTCATTGACGAACCGACAGCTATGTATCGAGTTTCTCGATAACGAATACGAACTCCACACAGAATTCCCTCTAGATTAATTAGAGGGTGGGGAATTGGAGTAGTTATTTTTCTAGGTAACAAACTGCATCGGTGTTTTATTGGACGCTATTGGATCCTTCGTTCCTGCGACCGAAACTGTGATTGTGCAGCGGGGTTCTATTTTCTCCTGTGAATTACCGTGCGCAGATTAGTCGTTCGATCAACTGTTTCCATTTGCGCGTGACGGTCAACGAAATAGTTCAATGGTTTCGCGAGGAATTTGTTCTTCCGACTGCGACAGCTAACTAGACCTCGGAATCCTGTTGCTTGTTAGACAAATTGGGGCAACCAGCGAGTTCATTGACGCAAGAGTGACAGCTGACTTTCAGGTTATTCCTGGGAATAACATACGTTTATGATGCTGTTATCAATAAAAACTAACTCGACACCACTAGCTGTCGAGCTACTATTGATACAAGTGCAAGTCTCATGAACATTCCTATTCTAAAATCTCCACAACGACTTAAACATACAAAAAATTGAAATTGGTTATAAACGAATAGATATCCACGTACCATTAAATGGAACATTTATTTAATTTATTTCTTTAATTTATTTATAGTCGTATAAGATAAGGGACTGAAATTTGTGTCAGTTACAATAGAAACAATTTCAATTGGAGGATCCGAGGATTGTAACCGTTAATTCCTGAAATTACAGAGAAGGGGGACGACATGTGAAGATATAAAAAATTGAAATTGGTTATAAACGAATATATATCTACATCTCATTAAATGGAACATTTATTTAATTTATTTCTTTAATTTATTTATAGTCGTATAAGATAAGAGTCTGAAATTTGTGTCAGTTACAATAGAAACAATTTCAATTGGAGGATCCGCGGATTGTAACTGTTAATTCCTAAAATTACAGAGAAGGGGGACGACATATAAACATATAAAAAATTGAAATTGGATATAAACGAATATATATCTACATCTCATTAAATGGAACATTTATTTAATTTATTTCTTTAATTTATTTATAGTCGTATAAGATAAGGGACTGAAATTTATGTCAGTTACAATAGAAACAATTTCAATTGGAGGATCCGAGGATTGTAACCGTTAATTCCTGAAATTACAGAGAAGGGGGACGACACGAGGCCCATTCGGCGCAGTCCACGCAGGACCGCAGGAAGCTCTTAAAGCGAACGAGGAGCCTTGCGGTGATATCCGAGGACGAATCTCGACAAGATCGAGAGTCCCACCACTTCCGACTCGGGCAATCGACGTTCGATTTGCCCAGGAGGCATCAGTTGATACCAAGGGCCAAGCTGATCGATAGAAACTCGCTGAAGGACAGGTGAGTTCCGACGAAGCTCGAGGAGCTGCCATGAGCTCATAGGATTGCGTTAGTCTTCGATCAAACAGATAGAAAAAGGACAAACACCGTGACATCATGGAAAGGCAATTTAAATATCTTGCGTAAATAGTCTGTTGATTCGATAAAAATGAATGTTAGTCGTTAAAGTATAATTCGTAACAGCGACACGAGAAACGAGGATAATCATTTTTATACCGAAATTCATCAATGAACAATAGAATTTTATACACGAAGCTTTGTTTTTGGCGCAATTAATTACACACGTTCGTTGGACCTGCTATCTCACGGTCTGTCCATTACTCACTGTTTCCGCTGGCTACAAATTATAAGCGACACCGCGGTTCCATATTTATTTATTTTTCACGGCGCGACGCAAATTGATTGGAACCGAGCAATTTTTCAAAAACACACAGCCCTGTAATATCCGCGGTTTAAATAGGAACGCGAAACAACGGGCAGACGTTAGCCATATTGGAATTAGTAGAATCCGTGCGCGGGGGACGGAGCATTGAATTAAAACAAGCAACGTTCCATATCCTCGATCCACTTTTCCACGTGAAACCAATTTCATTTCCGATACATTCCGCGCATTTCCATTAGCCGGAACCCTCTGTTCGAATAATGTCAATCGAAAATCCTGTCCTTGTAATTTCTATTCGAGCCGTGTAACCGAAATCGGAGAATATTACGTTACACGTGCCGCGAATAAACGCGGCGGATAAATCATTCGTTAATCGATGCGATTAACCCCACTCTTCGAATATCTCCGAACATTACCAATACACTTCATCGGATTTCCAATTCAAATTTTATTTTCCATTTTGTCGATTAAATCACTTTGCCCGGTGAATGGCTAAAACATCGAATCAAATCGAATGGTTTATCGAAAGGTACGCGTTCAATGGAAGAAATGTTCCTCCAGGGACACGGAACCACCCCCGGAAACCGCAAATTGTAATGAGGACCCTCGAAGCTTCTCAATTCCCGCGCGATAGCTTGATCCACGCGGTTCCCGAGTAACGAGGGGATTTTTATACACGATCGCCGATGTAAAGTTCGACAATTACGAGCCCAATCGGCCGGGTTACAAGCTGGCAATTTAATTACCGCGCGAACAAATATCGCCATCCGATACCGCCTAACGGCAATTAGCTTGATCGTTGTTTGGGAAATTTGATCCGCACGGTCTCCATTTGTCTATGCATTAAAACGCCGTTTCGCTCGGTTTAATCGGTCCCGACGGAACGGAAGTCACGGGGATCCTCGCGAACTTGATCGAGCAATTCTCGAAAACTCGCGGAAACTCGTTACCCCGGGCTCCGTCAGAGATTTTCCGTTGCCCGCGGAAGTTTCTTGCATCCATGTTGCTCTTTGCACGGCTCGTTGCAGCTAGTTCGATACGTTAAACCCGCTTTAATAATGCAGCCGCGCCTCCCGCGACGGCGAATTCGAATTCCGCCCGGAGCCCGGGGATATTTAGCGAATAAAAATTTCAGAGGCTGCTTCCTCGTGAAAATGGCCGCGAAAATCTGTATTCACAATACTTCGTTTGCTGTGCGTCATGAAATGTTCAATGTTTAACGAAACGCAAGGTAGACGGAAACTAATTCTCTTTTCTTCTGATTTTAATAATCGAGAACGAAGTATCGGGCTTTAATTTTCCAGTTGCCCGGTCTTTCAATATTTCAGTTCCCTGGTTTTCGAATTTTTCAGTGCTTCGGTTTTCCAATTTCCCGATTACCCAATATTTTAGTTCTCCATTTTTCCGATTGCTCAATGCTTCAGTATCACAATTTTCCCAGTTTCCAACGTTTCTATCTCACAATCTCCGAGTTCCTCGAGATCCCAATTTTTCCATTTCCGCAAGCCTTTCTCTATTCTGAATGCTACACTCATAAACGCGTAAAATCTGCTGTCCACTGATCACTAGAAGATCGATCGAAACCGACGCACTCTTCTCGTTCTGATCGATCAGACTCTTCTTCCAGGCTCTCGAAGAGTCAGCAACACCTCTCGGACTCCTACGAGAGATTCAACGAAGCGAAATCGCAATACTCGCGATCCGCTTGCGGCCTGCACTCGATCCCGTCGGGACTCGCGACTTTCCCGGATCCGTTGCCGTACGGGAGGCCCAGCCGAGGCGATCCCGACCGTTTGAACATCCTCGACTGGCCCGAGTCGCCGAGGCGTTATCACAGCGTCCACGATCTGGACACGGTCAGCGGCTTGGTAGACATCGTCGAGGATAATTGGCCGATCGAGGGAAATCGGAGCATCGATTGCATCTATACCCAGGTAAACAGCGCCCGTTCGGAATGTAATTGGGCCGACCGTCGTTGACCGAGTGCTATTCATAGCTATAAATTTGGCGGATAATGGTGGACTGAAGTCCCCATGGTAACTGATCAGAGTCTCTATGTCCGTGTCTATTTACCTGGAATCTGCAGAATTAGATCGACCCAGTGAACTAATGGTACAATTCTACCGCTCGAAAAGCCATTGAATTGAAGCATAATTCTACAGCCCCGGTTCCTTCTGATTATTTCGATATTTCGATTCACGATCTAAACCACTCTCCGAAATGAAAGACGCGACGCAGATTCCACGGTGCTCAGCCTGTGCACATAAGAAACCCGAAACACGCGAAAGTTAAACGACATTTCCCTAAGAGTCACTCTCGTTCAACCCCATCCGGCACGCTCCGCAACCACCCATTAGGCTAAACGAAGTCCACATTCCTCCCGACTGCCTCGTTCCGGGTGAAATTACCCCGCCCCGCAGTAAACGGTCGGCTGCGTTAAACACCGATTCATCCCCTGGCTACAGCCCCAATTAAACCACCAGCGACCGCCACATTGACCCGGAAACCGTTGCCCCAGGTCAAACGGAAGCGGAAGGAGCACAGGAGCCTGGACAGCATACTGTTCGAGGACGACGGCGAGCTAGAGTACTTCGACGTGCTGAATCTGTTACCCCTGTCGAACGTGCGCCTCGAGTTCGACGAGGAGGACGCGCGGAATAACAATTTCGCCGAGGGGAGCGACAGCCCGGGAAGCGGCAGCCAGAAGCTGAAAGCCCTCGAGTACCTCGGCGCGCGAGGAATCGAGGAGCAGCGGGCCAGGAGCAACGCGACCGACGAGGAGAAATGTACAGGGAGCAGAGAGAGTAAAGAAGACGCGGCGGAGCTTGAACAGTGGCGCCGGAGAGACGACAAGGACGCGGAGCAGCGGTCGGAATACGAAGAGGAGCACGCGGAACGCGCGAGAACGGAAGCAGGTCGGGACCAGGAGCAGCAGCAACGCTCGGAGGACGAGGGCAGCCCGATAAATCGCTTCCGGGACGCGGCCGCTGATCGACGATCCACATCGCCGGAGACTGATGAGGACAACCGCGGAACCAACGCGCTGATCGTCTCTGGGGGACAACACGATCGCAAGGTGGAGGAGGCAGAGGATTACAAGTCGATTTGGATCTCGGACACCGAAGAGCAAGAGGACATGTCGAGGAGGCCGCAGGTGCTCAAAGTCGTCGACAGCGACGTGACGAAGCGGCGGCACCGACGATCAACGACGGAGATTGATATGGAGGAGGCGAAACGGAAGGATGCAGGAGACGTGGATCGCTTGGACGTGAAATTGGATGGCAAGGCTGACGGGGCTGATGATCCTGGGAACGAGGAGGTGAGTCTCGTGATCGCTTCAGTTGCTTCGTGCGAGGATTAGTGAAACCGAAGTAGGGGGTTGTTGATCGGTTGCTCCTACGAGGAATTGGACTTTCGTGTTTTAATGGGGTATTCGCGTAGATGCGGGTGGCTCGTGCTCGTTCTTACAGAGGATTATTGATTTCAGGCGATTAATCGGGAGAAGGACGGCGCGAACGCTGCCATGGAGAACGCGAAGAACTTCTTCGAGCAGAAGACCACGTCCAAGGAGAGCTCCAAAAGCAAACCGAACGAGGGGAGGTTCGAGAGGATCGTCAAGGGGACTTCCAGCATTCTGGGGAAGGCTTGCAGTGTTGTGAAAGGCAGCCTGGGATTCGAGGCTAGATCCGAGAGCTCGGATTTAGGATTGGGCTCTGAATCGGGCAGCGACACGAGGAGGAGATCAGTGGACGACGGCATCGACGAGGATCAAACGTGCTCGGGCAAATCCTCGGCCAATGAAAGCAACGACTCTAAGAAGGGGCACAGCAGTCTGACCAGATCGAGGAGCTGCGTGGACTCGATCGAGTGCCACCAGGACGACGGCCAAGAATTCGACCACGTGCGCTACAAGATCGTGAAGTCCAACATGTTCAGCAAGAACATATATAACGCCGGTCGCGGAGACGTCACGTACGAGGGTCTGATGCAGTACCTGCGAGAATATTCGTTTCAGGAGCTGTTGCTGGACAATAACGTTGTTATCATTGAACCCGTACGTGCCGAGACTATCGAGCGCAAGCCGACCGCAATGGGGAAGGCAAGGTCCGAGCCTACGTGCAAGATAGCGGGCGCGATCCAGAAGAAATCGGACGCAGAGGGACGCGAGAGGAACTGCGAAAGCGCCGATGGCAACCCGAAGAGCCCCAAACAGTCCACTATCAAGAAGCACTTCTTCTATCATCCGATCAGAGTGAACCGCGAGCTCATCGACGAAGAACTGCCTGACCCGGATACCGTGCGGAACGTCAGAAGGATGTTCGAGAACACATTGAAGATGAAGAATAATTCGGAGCTGTCGAGGGAGTGCAAGAACAGGAAAAGCGTCAGTATGAAAGACTTAACCAGCATCGACGATCGGTTTGACGAGATGTCTGAAAAGATTCACGAAGGATCCAGGTGAGAAGCTATCGGTATAACCTAGCACCTGGCGAATCCTAATGATAGACATTGATCTGCAACTTTCTTTTAGGTTCAGATGTTCCAGCAGAGCGAAGGACCTCACCAGACTCTTCGAGAACCTAGAGAAGTCGACATCCTCCAACGCTTCGGTAGTAGGCGGCAAAGACGAGCTAGATAGTCCTCGTTCCGAGTCGAAGACGAGGATCCTAGCTCAGTCTTTCGAAGCTAGAAGCGGCCACACGTCTCCAAGCGATTCATCGTCCTCCAAGAACAAAGTGAATCGGTACCACCATCACCATCATCATCATAATTGGGACTCCGGCAGCGTGAGCTCCGGGGTGTCCAGTGATTATCCTGACACTGATCCTGGCAGCGGTGTGCAGTGCATCTCATCGGAGGACGAAGAGGTGGATTGCCACGAGGATGAAAGCAACGAGGCTCACAGTTCTAGCCATTACGTCTCGCAAGATGTCCTCAAGAAGATCCGAGAATGCGGCACCTCGGTGACCTACTACGGAGGCAAGGTGGTCAACTCCAGCAACGGACCCCTAATCTCGCCGGTCGTCGAGAACAGGTTCAAGTGCATCGACAGATCGAACGACTACGTCAAGTTCCGGCTGGTGAAGAGCAACTCTTGCGACAGCAGGCTCGAGCTCACCGGAAGACTGGTCGAGAATCATCTCAGATGTCGGAACAGAGAGAAAGCGCTCGACCTGAGCAGGTACACTATCGCGGAGACGCCGAGTATCGAGATCACCACGATCGAGAAGCAGGAGAAGGAGAACGAGGCCCAAGAAGAGAAAAGGACCGGCCAGGTTGAAGCGAAGAGGGAGCCGCCCGTCGTGATCGGATTGGAGCCGAAAAAGGAGGACAGCAAGGACGGGAAGGCAGCGTTCAAGGCGGACTTCAAACTTGGCCCATTAGACGACGCCAAGTCCACCTATCCGAGCAGATTCATAGGCAGCGCGCTGACCAGGTGGCAGGTGAACGAGAACAACTGGAGGACGCCGGACGACTTCGGCAAAATGGAGTTCGAGGAGTTCGAGGTGCTCGAGGACAGCCTGAACGCCGCGGAGAATCAGCGTTCCGAGACATCCTGAGCGGGCTAACTTGTAATATATAGTCGGTTACGATATCGGGAGAGATTGCCAAAGGAGAGTCGGTAGTTTCTAGTGCTTTCCGTATCCTCGAGCGAGGGTCCCCGGTGTTTTCTTTTCTGTTTCCGGGAGATCCACTCGGGAATGCCGTTCCGTCGTTGTTCCGATGGAGAGTTGTACAGTTATCAATCGAGGTTTCCCAGCAACGACTTGGATATTTTAATCGTAGATTCGTCGATTAATAGACTGCGGATTCGATGTGTGCGCTGTGTACGCGATCGCTTGAAATTTGAAAGTTTTAGAGCTCGATGAACACGAAGCATCTTCCATTTGAACAAGTCTTTGACTGTAGCATCTGTTTCCTCGATTATCGATTTCATTTGAAAAGAATCGTTGCGTTCGCACGAACGTCCGCAGTTTAAACATTAAAATTTACGATGGTCTATCTTGCAGGTGTGAGGGGGGAGTGTACATAAAATAGGAAAGATCATTCGACAATTGTATGTTCTCATGTTGTTACTTAAGTCGTCCTTATCTGGCTACAAAATAAATATTCATTAAGAAAACTTGGTGTGATTAGAATCCTGAGCTACTTCGTTTCGTCCGAACGATAGCGGGTCGACGAAAACTGTACGACGCAAGTTTCCGCTGTAACGGCAAACGAGCCGCCATTAATACGCTCGGCGTAGCTACGTTTCACGCTACTTAAAAACTCAGCAAACTTTAACGCGCGCGCTGGTCCACGTCTCACGGCGAACTTTTCAATAACACCGGAGTAACGTAAACCTAAATATAACGATCTATCTATAGACAGTTGCGACCGACTCGAGTTAAAGCGTGAAACACGTTCGCTGATTTATTCATGGGTCTTGTAGAGTCGGCCTATAACAGCGATATAACATGCAACAAATCGAGTCGACGCTGTTCATAGAGCAAACACCAAATCAGCACCTGTGCTATTAGAATTAAAATGATTCCGGTGTTTTCTCGATTTATCGGAATACGTTATCATTCTTTGAGATGCGAAAGGGCCCCAGCTATTCGCGGGCGTCGCGTTAAACGAAGAAAATTCGATTCCACGGGAATTCTTTACGATGTTTGCGCAGCCGCTACGTCGCCTCGCGGATCTTCTTATTCTACCGTGTTACTCACCAGGATCCTGAGGAACCAGGCTCTTCTCGTTCGTCTTATCCTTCGATAGCCTCGATGTCTTCGTTTCCTTTGACGAGCTTCCTGAAGCTTCCATCCCCTTCGCTAAAATCGGGCTTAAGCTCGGAGCGAAGGAGCTCGTCGAAACGGAAATACTCCTCTGGGAGATGTGCCACCATCTTTTGCACCATGTTTCCTGAAACATGAGAAAGCGAGGCATTGAACGTATTGTTGATCCAACGGAGCATGCCTTTTCATTCTGTAAGGTCGATGGATTTTCCTTTTATAGTCTACGCTAAAATTTTGTGAAAGAGAGTTTGCTCGTCTGTTTTAAGGTAGTCTCGGAAACCAGTGGACGGATTTTAATGAAATTTATTTAGAAATGTAACTTATTGTCTCTCGATTGTCACAGCTTCCTTTTTTATGTCATTCCTTTATTTATTTCATTCTACGGTTGATTTTTCGGGCATTAATTCGAGGTAAAAAGGAGTTTATTAGTGCTGGGGAAAATGCGCAGTAGCGGAAAGTTCTATCTTTTTCCAGGAGAAGAATAATACTAATGCAGACGAATTAATAAGTGTCAGAGTATCGCGAAAGGTTATCTTCAATCTGCTCCTTTGTTTGCCGAATGTCTACTAGATTCCTCCATGGCAGTGCCCGCTTGAAATATGTGTGTGTACGGGCGCGAGGATTATTCGAAACACGGTTACACGATATTTACACAGTTACATAAACGGGGTACAACGAAACGACACGAGTATACTAGTATACCAAAGTCTTCGCTGTTTTTCTTGGCTACTCGTTCCGCCTGCTATTTACGTTCAATTAACGCGAACCGCTGCGGACAGCAAACATCGGCTACGGCATTCCGCCGCGACACAAACCACGAAGGGAATCGCAATTTCTGCAACGAAATTTTAGACGACGCAATTACATTCACCCGCGTTCGGTTTCGAAGTTTCACGTCAAAGCGGAAGATGTAATCACGATGTTCAATTTACTTAGAATCGAACCACGGGATGGAGATTCGCCCTCGAAATTGAGAATTCCGCCGGTGTATTCCAATTGTCTCCGAAAAATCTTCGAACTATTGATCTCTCCTTCGTTATAAATTTGTTCATTCTTAAATTACCCTTTGCTACGAATTCATTCTTAAATTATTCCTAACTTTCAAATTCTTAAATCAACCAACAATTAATTTCATCCTTAAATTCTTCGATCACCCTCTAATTTACCTCATAAATTCCAACAACCTTCCAGACAATAGCTTTCACTGTTCCTTTTTCCGACTGCGAGCAAGGATCGTACACGACGATACGAATTTCCCCTCAACGGCACAATGTGAATTTACCAACGGAATGGCGAGACCAGTTCCTCGGAATGCATCGCGAAAGAAAAGTATTACTTTCGGGCGGATAAACTCTTCACAGGCAACGTATGTAGACGTCGGGAGTCTGGCGAGGATCCAGGATACGGGGTCACCGTAGGGTCACGTTGAAACTGGAGTTCGGCCAGGGTCGCGACACCATTGTGCGTTCACGTTTACAGGAATAAAGATCCCCGACTCAAAGGCGATTCATTAATCACAGGATACTCCGAATTCCGCCTTTGTGTCGCTGTCGGCGGCCCAGTTCTCTCTTCTCAATCTTTAACACCCCTTAATTGCCCGGGAATCGGGGTGGCCGACGAGTCGAACGACACCGTGAATCGAGTCGCGTGAAAATTTTACACGAAATGTAAGCCGCGAGGTGTCGTTATTTACTGGAAACCGCCCCTCGGAAATGATACCGCACTGCGTATCCGTTTTGATGTCGGGCGTTTCGGCGGACATCGTAAACCGACGCCTGAATCGAATGGAGAAGCGTGTCCCAGAAACATCGGGTTTATAGAAATATGCAAATCAATCCGTACGTGAACGCCATAAAGCTCTTGCAGCGTTATTCGTGTCCTAGCGAGGAATCGAACGACGGGCAAACGAAGACCTCCCGGAGAGCCATGAATATTTATATATTCGTAACTATCAAAGGTCTTCGACAAAGGATGCAATATTAATTTTCATAGAATTTCGATAGAATTTTAGTAAAGTTTAGAAGTGTGTAGTATAACAGTAATATTTAACAGATAATATCTGCAGGAGAAAGATATCGAAATGAAATTCTTAATGGATTTCTGCTTTTCCACTGCCGTATGCCGCGAGAAACTTCCAATCTCCCCATCGGGAAGCAGAATTCGCGTAAAAGTAGGAATCCATGTTTCAACTGGGATCATAAATCAAACCCAGCCTTCTCAGTCAGAGATTTACTCCTGAGTGCGATTTAAACGAAATCATGACGTTTCAAGTGGTTCGACGTCGGCTGCGATACCAAGAGCCGCTGACAATCAGACATTCGTCCGCCTACGCAAGCGCAGAGATGGTCCTCGCGCTTGAACAGTTAATGCAAGCCTTTGTCCGCGTCGCCTGGTGACGTTTGCGGCCTCGGAAACGCGTAACAAGTGTTTGAATTACGTCCTCTTATCGCAGCAACGGCGAAAGAGCCTCCAGAATTGGGTTAAACAAGAGTGCGCACTCCTGTCTTAGCCGAGAAGTTCAGTGAACATGTCCCCGAGGATCGTCTCCGAGAGTGTTTCGCTGAACGGTGTCATTTTTAACTTGTCGACTTCGCCGCGGCTCTGTAACGCGATTAAAGGATTCAGGATCACAATCTCGGGACGGATAGCGAAGCCGGCGTGAAAATTTAATTGTTCTTGGTTTCAGCGTCCTCGACGTTGACTCACTTTGCGGCCCGCGTTGTAATTTCGAGCTCCGCCTCGGTGTAATGGCAGGAATCAAATTGCGGACGAGGTCCATTAGCTTGATTGAGCGCCTTCTTTTCGAATTTTAGATTCTTCGGAGGCGATCCATGTTCAAGTTTTAGTGAACGGATAATGGAGAAGGCGACAAGAGGCTCGGATTCAGTGTCGATTACTGAGGATCTTGTTTCAAGTGATTGAATAGAGATCATCACTAAAAGCGTATTCATGAGATTATCTTCAGAATAATTCAGGAGACAGTACTTTGAAGTCTCTAGTTACGAAAGATAGATAGATTAATTTTCTAATAATATTTCTGATCAGAAACGTATCAATACCCAAGTGACAAGAAGTCATTTTCCAATAATATTTCTGATCAGAAACGTATCGATACCCAAGTGACAAGGTCATTTTCCAATAATATTTCTTACCAGAAACGTGTCAATACCCGAGTGACAAAAAGTAATTTTCTAATAATATTTCTGATCAGAAATGTATCACTTTTTGTCACTTGGGAAAATATTATTTCTACAGTTCCAGTCAATTTCTAACTGATAACGCGAGCATCTTTCAAGGACCGTCAACTAAATCACAAAGTAAGTGAACAGCTTCGTAAACGACCAAAAGGTCCAACACCAACGCCAACGTGTGTTCACCGTGAAAGCCGTTATCGAAAAATGCAGTTTCTGTTCTCTCGATGATTTCCCTCAGTTTTCCCGCCGTTCGCCTTTGACAGGTTCCTTGCTTTGGCTTTCCCTCGCCGCTCAATCGATTTCCGTTCGGCGTTTTTTCCGTTTACCAAAGTTATTTTTACACAGCGCTCCTCTGCTTGCGCTCGAATTTCCCGAGGATTTTTTTGCCGTTGTTTTTTTTAAAACACCGCTCAAGAATGCATAGGGAACTGCAAGCTGCAGCCTCCGTACGTTGCGTCAACTCCGGGAATCCATTCTCGAACTCGATTACGCGAAGTTTGCACGCAGAAATTGGGATTATTCCGTCGACCAGAAAACAGTTACAGCGGATTATCGACGGGATTCCATGCCGCTCCCTGTTTTCTCGTCTAAATTGGTTTACGAGGAATTCGACGCGGTCGGCACAGAATCCGAGTGTGATTTACCGAATCCAATTAAACTGTTCGCCACGGCGTTGAACGTAAATAACAATATCAACGCGACGATTGTATCATTCGGGGAATAATTCGGGCGACGTTTGAAATGAAGTTTCCTCGAAGAATTAAACACCGCCAGAAATACGCTGCACGCTCGATTTATCGCGCGATACGTATAAAATATATATTTACCGGCGCGTAGGTGTGCGCTCCGCAAACAGATCCCCTCGGGTAATTACAGGGAAAATATCTGGGGGATCGTTGAAATGAGCGGTTCGAGGATTTCGAGAAATTCGCGAATCTGCTGCATTTATCTGTTTCAGTCCCGTTGACGGTTCCCAATTGTCAGACGAATACGACAACAGACGTTGAATAATGTCAGCGATTCTTCGTTCGAAATCGCGTAAAATGAACGCCCTCAACGCGGAACGACGTTTCGCAATTAAAATGCCGGGGCTAACGAGAATTAGTCAAAAGAAATCTCGCGCAACGATAATGTCCCTCGTTTGACAGTATTGTGCGTGAGCTGCGTTGGAAATGGAGGAAAACAGAGGAAACCGAGGAACGCGGTTTCAAAGGCGTTTCTCGTTTCAGAAGCAAAACTCGCTCGACTGTGGGGTGGTTTTCTTATAATTCATTGTTCCCGACTCTGGTAAGAATAGACTCGCGACGAAAATTCCGAAGGATGTCGCCGGTGACCACAATTGGAAATCTTGTATCATATTTTACGACGGTCGTCCACGTGTTAGGAATGACTCGACGCTTGGTCGACGGCCAAGACGGTTCTCGGCCCTCCGAAATGGCGCTCACGTGAGCAACTGTCGCGGAATAAATAATTCTGAGGCTAATGGTCTCGTCGCGGTTCAACGATCTGTCGTGAGGCTCGCGACCACGCTATCGCCGAAAAATGGAGGGTTCCAAGGACAGCGAGCGGGCTGTCGGGATAATTAAAATGCGTTATCAGACGATTTACCGTATCTCGTGGAAATCAAGTAATTAAATGTACCACTCGAGTGGGAATGTTCTTAATCTCCGGAGATTAATCAATCTCCCGCATTTTAAATGCTCAACATTTATTAAAGTTTCAGTGGAAGTTAACTAATAAACTAAACGAAAAACTAATTTCACGTTTTCTAATCTAAACAATTTATTCCTGTCATCATAGGTATATCGCGAACGCAGGAACGTGTTCTCTGAGATCAACGAATTTTCCACTTTTCAACCAGTTAACTGTGCTCGACGAGTATACACGTAAAATCAAAATAATACTGCTTCTTTCAATGCTAAATTATTTATTT